CCAGAAAAAGAAAGTGCCAAGAAGATGAGGTTATTTCACTAGAGACAGAACCAAGAGAAGATATCAAGAAGAAGAAAGAAAAAAGTCAGCGGTTACTTTAATGTTTTATTGTTGTTATGATATTAATATGCCTAGAAGGAAATTTTGATACATTAGTTCAAGCAATTCATGCTAATGGTTATTCTAATCAACTGGCTTGGCTTAGTACTTACATCAATGATGAAGCAAAAGACAGAGAATTGGACTCTGAATGGGAAGAACTGTGTATAGTACCTGTAGAACAATCAACTGCTGAGGCATTGGAAACTAAAGTATTTAATAAATTAATGATATCAATCGATCTAATGCCACCCAGTGAGCAGGTACACAATCACACAAAAAACATGTTATTAGCCTTTTTGTAATAGGAAATCTACTGGAGGATTCCATCGTCAATGAGTCCGCACAATCTACAAGCAATTGCGGAATCTTTAAATGCACCTCAAGGGGACACTGATAATCTACTTACTTCTTCACCAGAAGATGAAGGTATTTTTACATAATTATAATAACCATTTTATTTTTTGTATCCAGAAGCACAAGACATACAAAACATGAGTACAAATTCAAACACTACTACTTATGGAGCTGTATCTTGGTCAGACGATGAGGGTTAGAAGTTAATACTTTTTTTATAGTATCATAATCAATTGCTAATTTCTATACATGTAGATGACAATTCACACCTTGCATTAGCTAATGATAGAGGTATTATTCCTTGTTAACATTATTAATATTACTACAATTGTTATCATTAGATCCTTCATGGAGTCCCTCAGAAGCACGAAAACGATTACCAAAGGAAAGAGAAGCGAAACAACCACCACCAAAGAGAATTAGAGTCAGAACCCAATTTGATTCAGACGACGGCAATGATGATGATGAAGTGAACATTTGTAGATCTATTTCTAGAGAAAGAGATGAGCCACATTGTCATAAGAGGAATGCTAGAACAGATCACATACAGCCATAGATGGTGGTACATGTCATCCGTTTTTCTCTGAATTAACTTTGTTAAATATATCTCTTAAATTATAATTGCTAGCATTTGTGATACTGTATAAAGTTATTGATGTAAGTTTAATTTGTGTTTAAGTTAGAATAATAGCATTTATTATCATTAATAAGTCATTTATCATCACTGTCACTCATTACTTATTGCTCTGTTACTTATTTCATTAATTTTTATTATGTAAAGTTGAAGTAGTTCCAATACCTCTCACTTCAAATCTTACCGTATAGTACTAGTTTCAGTATGAACTACAGTTATAGTTGCAATACAAGTATACATACGACCAGTACCAATTAAGGTACTGGAACCATACTGTCAGACCTAAATCACATGCAGGAACACCAGTTAATTCTGCGACGGGCTGTGTGGTAACCTGGTATTATTATATTTTTATTTTTATTGTGCTTTAGGCTTAATATTGAATTGTATGCAAATGTAATTTGTGAACATATGCATGCTGTAGAACCTTCTAGATTGTGGTTTTTATGTGTCTATACAATCTGTTCTGTCACATGTTCTTTGATCTTATTTCTGTTCTCCATTGTTCTCTCCTGTCCCGATTTATGTAACCATCTTCTTGTGTGGTTGATTACAAACTTTTGATGATAATCATTTGTACAAGCAATTTATACTTGTTAACACCCCGACATAACATTGGCAACGAGGAAACCAGAATAATGATTTTACTATAATGACAAATGTGGCAGTGCTAATATTACCACAAATCAATTTGATTTAACATTGTTTCAGGCGATCAAGTTTACATTGAATCTTGCAGCAGTGTAGCCACATATGTTGGTGGCTCCTCATCAGCTCGAAAGGCTACTACTAAAGCCCATAAGAAATTGTGCCGTAAATATCTTAGAGCTAGAAGAAAAGTTGGCTACAACGCTACATACAGGCTCTGGTTTGGTGCTTATACTAATAAACGTGCTCATAAAGTTAAATCTGTTCTAAAAAAGAGCAGGGATAGGATAGCTGGGAATTCTGTAAAATATGATTTCGAAGGAAGCAAATGTGACAGTGATACATATGCATACACTTGCTATCAATGTGACACAGTTTGGTTGTGTGCTATATATGTTAGTGATCCTACTTTGTGCAGGACCAGTGGTACCAGTAAAGAAGGAACACTTGCTCATGAATGGACTCACGTTGGAGCTGACACTGA